ACGAACAAACTTTGATAACAAGAACATGCTTCATCGGGACACATTCCAGTGCGTCTATTCGAAACGTAGTTTCCTGAAATACTATGCGGAGCAGTAGAGACAGGGAGAGAGAGAGAGAGAGAGAGAGAGAGAGAGAGAGAGAGAAAGAGAGCAGAGTAGAGAGAATTCAAACAAGTAATCCTCTGTTCGGGTGTTTCTCAAATTTCCTTAGCCGGTGAATATTGATCAGGAATCTTGTTATCCGCCTTCCGTTGGCCGCTCTCGCGCGACCACTTTTCATCATACGTACTATTTGATCATGCAACACGTGTTACTTCGAAAGTAACCAGCCCGACAGTGTACCAGTGCCACGTATGTTGTACGTGTTTCGCGGTGCGTCGTTGCAGGAACGCGTAAATCTAAGCGGTTTGCTGCACGTGTGCGTTCGTTGAACGCAAAGACTGAGTAATTTACATGCAGAACAGTCCGGATTTTAATATGCGTTTCTCCGGCGTGTCTTCTGCGCGTTACCAACGTAATCGCGTTCGTGCTCTCCATCGTGACTCTCGTCGTCGCGATTCACTTTTATTCGGGTCCCGCGTAGCCAAGGTTTTATTTCACTCGCTTGTCCGCGATTTATAGAACGGCGGGAACATCGGTATTCAAATACTAACGCGCGATTCGAAAATTTGCGATGACATTGTATAATATCGCCATGGTCAATGAATATCAAGATTAAACGGAGGTGTCTCTATCGATGTGAAAGAACATTTTCTATCTTATCTCTGCAGCTTGATAACGAAATGAATTTCTCCAATCGTTCTTCAATTGATCTGTAATGTTTGACGTTTCGCTACGTAAAATTTAATAATTTACAAGTGAATTTGAAATTGTAGAAACGTTTTTCGGACAAGGATCAGAAGTTTTATTTATTATTGTGATCTTTGTTAGACGTCGGATAGGGAAGAAACGAAACGCGTTGCGCATGCAATAGAATTTATTTATTTGTGAAACTATTTGAAATTAGATCTTACCTTGATTCGTAAAATTATTGATAGCTTATGATATTGAGTGGGCAAATGGAAAATCCATTAAAAGATAAAATTGTTATGAAAACTTTTTCTCGATATTTAGATACACGCATTAAGATTCATTTGCTAATGAAAGAAACGTGATGATCAGAAGAATTTCCGATTTTTCTGATGTAATTTCAATTATGAAAGGATTTAAAGAAACTCTTCAATGAGGGGAGGAAAAATTCGCGAATCTGTCCGCGAACTAAGTTTTCCTTCGATTTCGCTATACTTACTAGACAGCTACAATGAAACGTGCGCGATTGACGACGCGAGTTAACAACATGCGAAATTGATTAAAGTTGGACGAAAGTCGCCACTGCAACGTAGCAAACCGCAAACATCATAGCCCATAATACCCCAATCGACAGGGTGTATCGATAGCCGGTAACCGCAACGATGGACCCTCGACATCCACCGCCAAACAGGAAACGTTAACCTTTCGTACATCCGTGTTTGCGCATTCATTAGCGCAGATAATCGACGGCGGGAGATCGATTCGCGCCGCGTACATCGATATTTTGGCTATCGGTTCGGGGCGTGTCGCGGTTGCGTTTCCCCTTTGGCAATTGCTCTTCCGTTGTAGCCAATCAATTTCAGACGACCTTTTTCTATTTAAAATGAAAACTTTCGCCTCTTTAACTGCTTGAAATAGTGAAAAAAAAA